GCCCTTCAATTTGAGGAGGATACTGCCAAGAATGGGGAAAAGCATGAAGAAATGGTAACGTTTTGAACTTTGAATTCTCTGTTTCTCTGTTTATATTTACCGTCGTGTGAAAGTTATACCACGACGTTGAATTTATTAATTATTACTTTTTTATTATTTATTTATAATTCTTCACCATTTGTGTGGAGGCCTTGACCTCCATTTTCTTGTTTCATACACAAACCTTTCTGTTAATATATGTATAAATAAATAAATAAAAATTAATTATTAATTAGTTTATATATAATGCACATTCGAAGCTTATGGAATCGCGCCTTGACCGGCGTTGCAGTTGTAAAGTCAAAGATCAATACATTCAACCCTTTGTGAAATTGTGACTTCGTCTACGACTCTTCATTAATTTCTTTTAATTAATTAATTTTTTTTGGGTGATAAGTTGTTTAATCTTTTGCTTCTTTTCCACATTTCAAAATTTTCTTGTCAGCTTTTAGATCTAATGCCAGTCTTCTTTTTAAGTTTTCCAAATTGTATTATTCTTTCATTGAGATTTGTAATTCTGTTTTTATTTATATATATTTTTAAGTAGATTAACCCACCTACTTTTCAATTAGGGGATTAAACAAGAGTGCTGCTAAACGAACCCTAAAATTAACTGAGTACACCCTATGATCTAAGTACACCCTAATATTTTAATTAAAATGTAAAATTAACTAAGTACACCCTATAGAACTACCAAAAATACCCATGGTACACCCTAATACTTGTAGCATTATTTAATAGTTGATTTTCAGCTTGATTTTTTTAATAGTGTTTATAAATCTTTGACTTTTCATATGGATTTATGCTTCTACTAAAATTGTTGACACTTTTTTTGCAATTCCAAGTTCTTGCAATCACCACCTCTTTCGTTAATAGTGATTTTTTATGCATGTTTCAGTTATATACTACTATGCTACTGTGAAATTTATTTGTTCTCAACTTTCCCAACCTCTCTAGATGGACTATTCATAGTTGGAAACCAATAACTTGTATGTTGTACGTGAATGTATTGGTGTAAAGTGAATAAGAACAAGTGAAAATTGATACAACTGGAATCTACTGTCATGGGGAAGCTAGAATCTCCTCCCTTCGATAAAGAACCAGTCTTTGTGCTCATCAATATCTCTCATTTATGCACACAGAGACACTGAAAACTACTCAATAAATATAGGGTCACCAATAATGTCACCAATATGATGCTTCACAAAACTACTCAATAAATATAGGGTCATTATCATAAGGGTCTGCTACACCAGCTTCATATCTAAATTGACGTATACGATCCTGATATGGCGTAAGCCAATCTGATGCAGTTATGGTTGCACATCTCAACCAACGCTCATCAACTGGTGGCATAGGGTGTTGACCTTCCAAATAAACCTGTAAAATAAAAAATAAAAAAATAAATCAAGTTATGTGAAAAAAAATAGTAAACAAACATATATATATATATATATATATGCATAAACAGCTTAATCGTTTTACCTTAATCCAGTGGTTATGGTTAACAAATCCAATCGAAATCTCACGGCGATAGATAGAATCCAATGGAGCAGTCTCATATGGAAAAAATGTAAGTGACTGATGCACTGACCAAGTCATGAGGATTACATTATAACAAGATGCAATGAGGTGTCCCATATCTGGTATAGTCATCCACTTATCTTGAAGTGGGAAGTCCTCAAAATAGTCCAACATATACTCAATATGTTGTACCCGTTCCTTACCATTTAATATTAACTCGTATATGACAGATTCTTTCCTCAACTCCTTCAACAAGTCTTTGCGTACTTTGCGCCAAGCATTGTCACCAAATCCCATCAATGATCCAATGGCTCTAAAACCACAATTACCATCACTCTGAACATCTTGTGCCCCTCTAATATGTATCAACATATGTTTAGGAAACCACTTGTTAAACTCTGGTGTTAAGCAAGAGTCATCTACAATGGGTTTAGGCCTATAGATCTGCATATTACAATTACACCCAAATTACAATATAAACAACAATATACAAATTTAATATTGTAACTACTTACAGGTAGCTTCGAAGGCCGCTTCTTTGGATTCACATATGGCAATGGTTGTGTCTCACTATTGAATACTGATTGCTTTTGGGGTATGGTCTTTGGCTTCTTACGTGGCGGTCTTGTAATAACTTTGTCAGTCGAGTGTGCACTATCTTGACCAAATAAGACAACCTCAAAAGCAGAAGGCAAACGTCGAGTAGATGTGTCAATTTTTGGACGACCTTTTGTTTTAATCTTCAGCTGGGGTTGTGTAAGCGTGGTAGATGCGGGATTCATAATCTCTTGTAACTTCATACTAACATGTCTCTTTGTCTCAGAACTACAACTTTGAAACCACTTCACAAATAATTCTAACTGTGCATTTTCTGGAGGATTGTTCGGTGTAGCAATAGGTCGGGGCTCCAAAAAATCTAACTTCCTCCAACGAGGATGAATACAATCAAGTGGAATGGGTCTATGAGTCCGTTTGAACTCTTGCATCTCATGTGCACATGGTAATCCGTGTGTGTGTTTTATTATGCAACCACATGATATCGGATCAACCCCAATATAATCTAACCGCTTTAGCTCAACCATAATATTATCCAAGGCAGAAATAGATACAAAACCAATCAACTCCTTGAAGTCTTCTTTCATGCAGTCATGTTGCACAAATGACAGACTCTTCTCAAATGATGCTTTTATCTCAGTGTGTTGCAATTCTATTAAAGGATGAATTTTGTCCCATGATGTGCCAAATGTACACATGCTATTACCAAGTTGTTTCTTCAGCTTTGCATGTGCAGTCTCCGCCCTGTATATTGTAGCAACATGTTTCATGTGAAGTAATAAATAATGTATGCTATATAAATATTAACTGAAAATCAACAATAAATACCTATTTGATGTTGTATTCCCAAAATGCATACATGTGTTCGTCCAAGCAGCAACAAATCTTTCTTTATAGGGAATCAACCATGTCTCCTTCACATAGTTGATGATAGAATTGTGATCTTTGAAGTTGGTCTGCAAGGCCAGTAGATGTCTTTCATACTCGGCTTCTGTATTTGATGAAACAAGCATATTCCATGAAATTAAAAATTTGTCTGAACTAGCTTTGTCTTCAAATACATTTTTGCACTTTCCTAAGACTCCCTTATTAATATGCCATGTACATAATAAATGTCGAACACCTGGAAAGACTTCATGGAGTGCATTCATGAGAGCTAACTCTCTATCTGTGACAATAACACTTGGAATCGAATTATCATCCATAACACTCCTTAATCTAGCCAATGCCCATTTGTAGTTGTCTTCTTTCTCAGCACTAAGATAAACAAATGCAATTGAGAATGTGAGATGTGTAGACGTCACCCCCACAATCTCCAAAAGTGGATAGCGAAACCTGTTTGTCTTATATGTGCAATCCATAATCAAAATATGAGGAAATGCGTGCAGTAGCTTAATACTTATAGGGTGAGCATAAAACAAATCACTTACAATATTAGCGGTACCATAGCTTCTATGCCACTCTACATACTCATGGGCAAACAACTTTCGTAGCAATACCTGCATCTCTGACATACCTGCTTTCTCAATCACCCTATTTTTTTGTCTGGCATTGTAGATTGTCTTCATTGTGGTCACATTCAACCTATCTCTATGTTTAAGAGTATATAATATATCCTTTGGCCTAGCCAAACTCTTAGACATGTCAACCACTAGTAAATTCTCTTCCACAATTAATCTCCCTACATATGAATGCCCTTCCATATTTAGTGCTGCAGGATGGTTATGAACTCCACAGACAACCTCAAGTTGCCATGCATCTCCAGGACCACAGTTCACACCCTTCAATGAAAAGGGGCAACCACACTTCTTCGTGCCAGTAGACTTCACACTTTTTTTCTTTGGAGGGTTTGAACTTTGATCAAGCTTATGTATTGTCTTGCTATCTGATTCCACAACTTTTTTTTTCCTAAATTGGCCACCCCTCTCACAACAAAATAGAATTCGACCGGTCTTGAATTTACCAGATCCTCCAATATCAGACCTTTTAATGATAATCACAAAGCCATTCTTTTTCCCTTGTTCACGAGTCCATCTTATTAATGCATCACGACTAACAAATATATGTAAAATCACTAATAATTAAATTAATGTATGCAATTATAAAATAAATATATAAATATTCATTAATTTACCTCATTTGTGATAAATTCGTTTCTGTAGTCTAAAACACATTGTTTATTGATGTCGGTGTCTTGCTTAGATACATCTTCTGGATGCTATAAAAAAAAAACCTCATATTTGTCATTTTTCAGTACACATGCTTTAGCCTAAACCAAAAAAAAAAAAAAAAAAATCAAAATTAATACCTCTTTTGATGACTTCCTCGAAATGTATGAAGCATCCATTCCAAAATTTCCAAGTTAATACCTCTTTTGATGACTTCCTTGAAAAAAAAAATCAAAGTTAATACCTCTTTTGTTGATGATCCTATTAATGTTGCTTTTATTTTGATGTATGCTACATAAAACTGGAATAATATCTCTGCAATGTACTAATAAGAGGCCAAAAGCAATATGCACAAATTCTATTTTGACGTGCATGAATAAGCCACCACAGTAGGGTCAGAGTTTTTCATTCATGTTGTTAGCGAACTAGGCAAAAGCAATATGCATAAATTCTATTTTTACAATATATAAGTCAATTCACCAGAATATTATTTTGACAACTTACTCGATTGAAATTATCGTGTCTCTTGTCAGGAATTCAATGATTAATCAGGCCTTCACATAATCTCCACCGTTGTGCTTCCTTTTGGATTGCGAGAAGAAGCAGATTTGAGCCCAAGTCTTCTTCTGCTGAGGTGCTGAGCAGGTTGTGCTTTAATTTCTCTTTTCACAACAAGCTCAGTCATGTATTCAACAACAGCAAGTACAGTTAGCCTTGAGATAAAACCTGCAGGACGTACCTATTGTAATGCCTCTATTCTTCTCTCTTCAAGAGTAATCTCTTGATTAGGGTTGAATACAGTTAGTAGGTTGTACTTATTAAAATTATATTTGTTTCAGAATTCCATATATCCTTTTTGGTCATTTTATATTAGGGTAAATCAGTAATTCAATATATACTTTTGCAGTAGGGTGTACTCAATTAATTTTAGGGTTCGTTTAGCAGCACTCTATATATATATATATATATATACGACTTACTCATTCTTACATCCAAGGACTTACTCATTCTTACAAAGTGTTAGTATAAATAACTCTAATAATAATCGAAAATTAATAAATTAAAAAGAGAAAAGGGAAGAAGCGGCGATGCTGTTGTGGTTTTGTGAGTTGTTAATTTCTTGTGTGGGAAGTGGAAGTGGGAATGGGAAAGGGCAGTAGCAGGCGGGTGAGGGCGTTCAAGCGGTGGATGAAGCGGGAAGGGATCGAATGCAGCGACGCCCTGGACTTGAGGGACGAAGGAGTCGAAATCGGAATCAGCGTGAGAGCCCTAGCCCACCTCAAGGAAGGGGACGTGGTGGCCAGAATACCAAAGCTCACGTGCCTCACCACCAGAACCACCGCCGCACGTGACATTATCGCCGCCGCCGCCAACGCCGGTGAGGGCGAGGAGGAGTCTTGTTTAGGAGGGTTAGCAGGGCTGGCGGTGGCGCTGATGTACGAGAGGAGCTTGGGAGAGCGTTCACGGTGGGCCCCATACCTTGAGCTGTTGAGCAAAGAAGAAGAGTCGTTGCCTTTGGTTTGGAGAGCCGACGAGGTTGAGCGGCTGCTGGCAGGGACAGAGCTGGAGGGAACGGTCAAGGAAGACAAAGGTGTTATGTGGAAGGAGTGGAAGGAGAGCATTGAGCCCACGATATTACTGCAAATGCATCCTTTGGATGCTGCCGCCGTTGAACAGTTCGTTCCTAATTGGAGTGGTTGGTGTTTTGGGTAGTTCTAGAGATCGGATTTCACTCAAACTTAACCAAATGACTCCTTCCACCATATTATGATGTTATAGTACACACCCATTGGAACAACTTTCGTGAAGAATGCGGCCTCGTCTGAGCTGTGTATGTTGCTGAAACAAAGCTTGCAATATGACCTACGAAACTGGGCTGGCAGGGGACTGTAGCCAAAATTGAGTTTGTCTTTAAGCTCTTCATCCATTCATCCAAATTAGGCCCTAACATGCATGGATTGCATCATTTACTATCCAAAGCCCTCATTATTACCTAAAGCTCAATGAACTGAAAGATAAACACAAAAAGGATTAAAAGCACAAGTTTAACTCAAAAACATAACCAAATCATAAGCTAGAAGGGTACAAAATGATATGTAAATATGCACCGATCAGTAGGGTGTACTTATTAAAATTATATTTGTTTCAGAATTCTATATATCCTTTTTGGTCATTTTATATTAGGGTAAATCAGTAATTCAATATATACTTTTGTAGTAGGGTGTACTCAGTTAATTTTAGGGTTCGTTTAGCAGCACTCTTAAACAAAACTACTTTAAAATCTTCTCATAAAAATCCCAAATTTTATTTTGTTTTTTTAAAGATTCCCGAATTGTAAGTTACTTATATAGCTAACACATTTGAAAAAGAATGACAGTTCGACTATTTTCATTTATATTTAGACACACAACATTGACCCTAGCGTTCCTAGTAAGTGGCCTCATCATAACATTCATTAATTGATATGACATTATACATCAGTTGCCACATAAGGTGGTCAGCTAAAGTGGTCAATATTATGTGTCTAAATAGCATTACTCTTGACGAATATGCTAAAGTAACTCTCTACATTATAAAATTAAATTTTAAAGTGCGATTGGCTGGTAAGTAGGAATGACTTGTTGAAATAAAAAAGGAGTTTATAGAGCTCAAATATAGCATAATTATGGATGTGAAAATAATGTTGTGTAATAATGATCATAATTTGATTTCCCCCCAACCAGACGAACACAAGTTGAATCAGCATGTCATCCAATATCATTGAGAGGGTTTGATTTGAAAAGAAAGCATATTATCTCTTGAATACTTTTTCTTTTTCCAACTAACCATCCATGTTAATTTTGAAAAGAAAGCACAAGGAGTTAATCCACCAATTAAATTTAAAATGGTATCAACCAATTATTTAAATTATATTCAAAGAATCACTTTCATGTCGATGTGGGGAGCATTTCATGTAGTTGTTGTAACTTGTAAGTTGAAAGTTGACAAAAAAATAAGGAAAGTAAAAGCTGGTGGCTGACGTGCTTAGTAGCAGTAGTTACCTCCCTCTGCAAACGTACTAACGCTTCCCTTGGACTATTGCGCCCAAAAAGAATCCGATAAAAACAAGCCCGAAACGTTTTGGTTTTCGGGTGTCAGACGAGAAAAACTTGTATGGCACGGGGATAATATTATTTCATAAATTACATTCTGTTAAGTGTAATTTTTTTTTTTTACATAAAAGAATATAATTGGATGAGTGCTATCTCCGTGCTATGCAGTGTTTCTCATTTCGGAGAAGAAGGGTGTTAAATTAAATTAAACTGAAACAGTGTCGTATCCGGCGGGCAATCCCGGAATGCCATGTGGCGGGCAGGAAGAGCAGGCAGAGGGACAAGGTGGGGCCCAGTGGAGGGCTTTTCTTTAAATATCATAGGGTAGGAAGGGGGGAGTGAGAGTGACGTGACGTGGAGGGGCGAGTAAGGGGGTGCTTTGAAGGTTGTGGTGTTTTTAGATTTCTGGTCCCGACCACGATGCTCTACAGTCCACCGTCTAACGGTCACGTTCTTGAGCTTCGCGCCCAGCAAGAAAATACCCAAGTTGCCAACTACGTGACCAAATTCCTCTCATTTCCCACTTTGTCCCTCAATTAATGAAGTCCTGTGCCTTTAATTTTTTTTATTTTAATAATTTAATAATTTAATAATTTACTTTTTCCAATTATTTTAAAAAATTATTTCTAAGTCGGGTTTTGGTGTTTTAAATTTCGATTTTTATTTTTTATATAATGTTAAACTATTCCAAGTGAAGCTAGATTTTGGTTTATACATTAGAAAATTATAATAAGTTGTACCTAGTACTTATCATTTTCCTTATATTTTTTTACCTAAAAAGATATTCATTTCACACTATTGTCTGGGTATTTAGGCTTTGTGAGGAATTAGTTAGGCTTTTGAGTCGTAGCATTTTACGATTACACAAGAAGATTATGAAATTACACATGATTCATTTGAGTGATACTAGAGTCTCAACTTACAGATCAGTGATTTCATATTTGAATTGCCATGACACCTCGATAGTGTGTGTGTGAGAGAAATGCCCCTCCTCTTATAGTTTAAACTATTGCTTGTATGTTTTTTATTTTAAAAAAAGACTCAACTTGTCGAGTAAGTTCTTAACGAAAAAAACTTTTCAAATAAGTTCTTAGCCAAATAGAGGGAAAAAAGAAACTTGTTGATAAAGTTGTTACGAAAAAGGGAAAAAACTTGAAAAGGAAGAACTTGAACCCACATCTTTGTACTTATTGGAATTCATGATCTATATTAGGTGAGTAGGTATACAAATTCATTACAATTATAAAATCTTATCTCAAACAGTTAGACTTGGAGAATATAGAAAGTGTTGATCTGGGAAAAAGGAGAATATGGAAAAGTAAATCAGTCATGTAAAAGCTATTTTGAGCTGATGCAAGCTAGAGCTAGTGGCATGGAGGTTTTTACTTTTACTTTTGTGTTTGCTAATCGGATGTTGCTTTGTTTGGTTCGGTTTACTTGTGCTTGTAGCTGTTTTTTCGTTCACTAGTTTTTTACCTACAGAAAAAAAGGGTAGTGTGGTCACACACAAATAGAAAGAATTGTATCCCAAAACCAGGGGTAGTTTCGTCAACAAGAAAAAAAAAAAAAGGATCTGCCAGATGTGCAACAGGCTGAATTATTCCAATTAACGAAGAAAAAAAAACAAAGAATTCTGAAAAATACAGTTTGATTTGATTAACGATGAAAACAAAGAGGCCCACCACCACCACCTCATATTCAAAAAAATAAATAAAAAAAAAATTCAAAACATTAATGAATGAATTTAAATCAAATACAGAGAGAGAGAGAGAAGAGAGGAGGAGAGAGAGGAAGAAGAAGAAGAAAAAGAAAGAGAAGCGACAAGAGAAAGAGACGAGAGAGTATAACGCTTCAGAAAAAAA